CCCCAAAACCCCAAAACCCCAAAACCCCAAAACCCCAAGCAAAATACAAGAAATTGGATAATTAAATTTAAAATTTCAAATGGAGTAAGTCTAAAATTACGAGCTATAGGCATAATTGGTACATTCCAAAGGAATACAACCCAACAAGGAAGGGGTACGACCAGGATATTATTAAGAAAAAGAAAGCCAAGAGATCTCAATCTCGAAAGAAACGTCCTAAAAGTTGTAAATAAGTGTTCAAAAACTTTTATAAAGAAGAACAGAAAATAAATGCAAAGGTATTGATAAACAACTTAATTCTTCCAGGGAAAAGCAGAGTTGACTGAATCCAGACGAGCTCTCAAGAGAGCTTGCTGAATAAAACAAGACCTTGAATAATAGAGAGTGTGGAACACTCCCATACGCCTCAATTTATCATAAAGGACCAACCTTATATAAAAAGAGTCCAGAGGACATTATATGATGGCTCAGGGTAAATTTCGAAAACCATACATAGATCACGGTCAATAGTTGAAAATATTGGCCCTAAAGAGAGGATGAAGATCATTAGGTACCAACCTCATCCGTTTGAAGGAAGAGATGCTGTGCCAATACATCCTCCTCCCAACATGGATCAGACCTTCAGTCCACATAAAAGAGTGAGGAAAGGAAACTGTCCCTATCAGAGAGATGGAATATGTAAAAATGAGAGTGAAAGGTACTACTAAAACTAATAATTATAGAGCTTTAGTTAGATATAGCAATCTTAGGAAAGTTCCAATGCCACATTTTGGTATGACCTATTATAATTGCTTAGAGAGAGAAAGGCCTCATCAAATATACAATACTTTGGACTCTTTAAATGATGAGAACCAAGATTTACAAAGACAAAGAGAGCCTTATCATTCTTTAAGGAGACCTTGCAAGACACCTTTTCGAACACTGAATCTTGGCTCAATTGACAATGAGAAATATAGAGACAAAAGGTCTAAAACTGTTCATCCAAAATACAAAAGACATCGGTCAAGGAAGTAAAGAAATTTGTGTAATTTCATAGAAGAAAGAGGAGGAAATCAAAGAAGCATGATAAACATAAAAACTCCCAGAATATTTCGTACAGAGATTATCATGCCCAAATCACAGAGAGATCTCAGAAAAGGAGATATAGGTATAAACTTTGATAGTTCTTATTCTAGAATGAGGACACCAGATGAGATCTATGTGGAGAAAAAGCCTCAAAAGAAGAGTAAAACAAGGAGAAAGAAGAAAGTCAAGTATGCATCACACATAATACTCTTAGAGGACTTAATCCAGATTTGTATAAAAAGAGAATGCATCGAGTCAAAACTCACAAGTTTGAGTATAAAAAGCCTATTCCTCACATAGAGGAGAAAAACATGAGTCAATTGCGGATGAGAGATAGTATTAGTCATTGATAAAAGTTTTTAGAACAAATGCAAAGAGGGTTTAGAGAGCTCTACAGAAGCACTGTGGAAGCACTCCTTCCAAGAAGTAAGCTTTAAACCTCATAATTTAGAACCAAACGCAATGAATAGTAATGGAAAATTTAATTTATAGGGAAACATACTGCTCCTTTAAATAACAGAAGTACCTAGAATTACTTATTAATTTTTATAGGAATTACTAATGAGCAATGCGAATTAGAAGAAACATCTGCACCTTCTTCGACTTCTGAAGAAGACTTGCATGAGAATGACATAAGAAAAAGAGTGAATAGAACCCACCAGGAAGAAGTATCTCAAAGATTAAAACAGTACAAAAATTGATTACCTTTAGCCTCGGAGATTCTTTAACAAATTGAGAAAGAAAATTTGGGAATATCAACAGATCAATTGAGCATATTAGACAGTCCTACATGTCTTAAATTGATAAAGAGACGTAGGTACATAATTTTTCATGAATAATACTGTTGTTGGGATTAAGAATCGGGAAGGATATTGAAAGATAATCTACTCTAATCTGAATATCATTGATAAGAACAACCATCAAAAATTTAGCAGTTAGGCATATAATTCATTTTTCATAATTTAAATGGGGTTTTGGGGTTTTGGGGTTTTGGGGTTTTGGGG